TTTTTTACTTTTTGGTAATTAGAACAAATTCTAGACGTATTGGTAGAAAATTATCACTTTAATGGACAATTTTTATAAAAAAAGAAGCCAAACGGACACCAAACTTTCAACATTTTCCAGGTAAAAAATTATACCAATCAAACACAATTAATTACAATTCCCAGGAAAATATTTTTTAGGAAAATCTTTTCCCTGTAAAATATTTTCTTTCCACCCATTTTCCACCCTTGCAATCAAACGGACCCTAATAAATTACAGCCCAGAAATTAATTTTTTTAACTTTTATAGAAAGCAATTAGGGTTTGGGATTACAAAATTTTAGCCTATTCCAAATTTGTTCACCAAAATGCAAAAGTGGATTCTCAATTATGAAAATCTACGATAATTTAAATTATAACTTCTAACCTTGTATCTTATTGCCGTATTTAAGAATCAAAAAGTATGAATATTTTCTAGTAAATATTGAAGGAAAAAGAAATTTGTGGCCCGAAAGGTAATGGTTGCCGAAGTTATCGAAATATCTATTTTTACGCATTGAAGGACACAGAAAGAAAGAAAATCAATTTGTTATTCGTCATAGGTTCATTTATTCAATAACTAGATTAAATGCGAATATATAACCCAATCCCATCTTAAGAATAAAATGAGGTGTACTATTTTGACATAATTGTTAGTCTTCGTATTCAAGCACCAAAAGATAGAAATTGAATTATACTACCAGAAATTGAAAACATATCGAAAATTTGCATTCAATCACCAACAAACATATTAAAGTAAATTGAATAATTAGACATTCAAACCACAAATAGAGAAAATAAACTAAACACCATGTTTGGTACATATTTTTTCAAAACTCATTTTCAACCACACATTCAATAATTTTTCCTTACTTTTTAATTACATATTTTCCATCATATCACTATTTAAAATACATTATTTCTTCAATAATATCCATCAAACACGCCCTTAGTTTTAAACTGCAATCTTGAAACTAAGAAGTGTTACCCAAATAAACTAATAAACATAGTTCAAGTATTAAGCAATTAACCAGCAAGTGATCGAAAACAAATTAACCTTAAACTTGTTAAGCATCAATGATTAATTATTCTCCTCTCATTATGAAAAAAAAAATAGTTCCAAGTGTGGCCTTCATTGAATTTCCTGCTTAGTCCTACATGACAAAATTAATTCCTCAATAGTCAAAATATGAATTATGAACTTAATATAAAGAAAATATGAAAAACAAAATAGTAATTCGAGAAGAATGTGCTTGCGTAAGAGTCGTTATTTGGAAAATGAATTCTTTTGAAAAATGTGTGGTTAAGTAGGGAAGTTATGGGAAAACGTGAAATGAAATTTTTAGTAGATTTTGGTAAAAGTTGATGAAATTTGTGATTAAAATATTAATAAAAATTACTGGTCCTACAAAATATGTAGTTAAAATTAATTTTTGATTTTGATTTAGATTTGTATCAACTGTTTTAATTAGAACAAACATGGGCTATGAAAGAGTGATTTTCAAACAATCAATTTCAAACCATGATATGTGGCAACGACTTGTAAATTTGAATATTATCATTTGAGAAATGAGAGTACAGTTTATGCCTTTAGGACTTCAGTAGTAATCACCAGAAGTAGCTTGTCAAGTATATGTACAGCCTAAAATAAATAAATAAATATATATATAAGGGAAAAAGTGATTGTTCTTAAATGTCACTAAATTTAAAAAGTACAACAAAATTTGTCACTTTTATTAATGGGGTTCAAAAATATTACTTTTAATGTGAAATGTCCAATTTATCCTTAATGACACCTTTTAAAGAGCATTCATCATCTATGCAGAATTATTCATATACATAGAGCTTGTTTGGGAGGGATTAAAATTGAAAATATAGCCGTTGGAGTTGACTTTTATTAGACGAATGGGACCCAATAACGACTATATTTTCAATTTTAATTGGATTTTAATCCGTCCCAAATAAGCTCATAATAAATTGCATGACAAGTATTACAAAAACAAAAAAATCAACCAAAATATTGGAACTTGGATTTAATCACAATGCACACAATATATATGAGTGTCTCCACACACAAAAATCCTATAAGGGACAACATCCTGCCAAAATTTCAGCATGAAAACTTCATTGCTGCTATTAAAAAACAGTTTTAGGCTTTTGAGGCCAACAGTAGAAGAATTATGCTAAGTGTACATTCCATAGTGTATGTCTTTTTTGACATTGTGTGGAAATTCAAAAAGTGCTAAACAAAGTGTTTTTTTTAAACTACCCAATCATGTGCCGACACGTGGTACAACGTCAAATATGATGTAAAATAAGATGTACATGTAGCATGATTGACAATAGAAATCCTCATCGATATTGTTTCTCTATTATCTAATGTTGATGTTGTCTATTTTTAAGTTTATTCTTCTTCGGGAAATTATGTTGCTCATAGGCTTACATTTTTTGCTAGCATTGGATATATGGTGAAGTTTGTATCATATACATCTCCACACCTATAGGTACACATTTGGTATGTAGTATAACCCGTGACTATATACTTAGTATTGAAGGAGACATATTACAAATTTTGTACCCTGCACATCACGAAGGCATTTATCCTTTCTATTTATTTTCTTGTTACTTTTTTATAACTTATACTATATACTAAGCACATCGACAAGAAATTACTATTGTGGTAAGCACAACCTTCCTTGATATAATACGTAATATAGTGTATCAAACATGTAGTTAAAGCAAATCACAAGGCGGACGACATTCCACCCTCCTTACAATTGGCTAAAACCTTATAGACTTTAATGTAAAAATAATAATTTCTTGTAATTTCCCCAACAAAACTCATGCTACAAGTTAACTTTCCAAAGGTAGCAAACCCCACGACCACAATAAAATTGGCGTTACCATATGAAGGAAGATTTCTTCAAATAGTATTCTTTCATATAGTAAACCATTTAAAACCTTTTCGTATTCATCACCATTCTTTTCCATTTTTCCTTCATTTTGAGCCCAATAAAAGTAATATTATACCATTCTGCAAATACATTATAAGTAATTTCAATTACCATTCTTAGTTTGTTTCCTACACATAGTAAACTCATTATTTCCTTTATAACTTGTCTCCAAATTCATTCACCCTTTTGTTTCATTAGAAGAAAAGAAACAAAAATTTCCACCAAAACGAAAAAGGATTATAGCATCTATTTTATTCAAAACCCCCACCCCACTCCCTCCACATTCTTTCATTTCAGAGTATTTGGTTGTTTTTTGAAGGGTGAAAAATGGGCAGAGAAAAAGTTGAGATTAAGAAGATTGAGAACATCAATAGCCGGCAAGTGACGTTCTCAAAACGACGTGGCGGATTGCTGAAGAAGGCAAAAGAATTGGCCGTTTTGTGTGATGCACAAGTTGGGGTTATAATTTTTTCCAGCACCGGAAAGCTCTATGAATTCGCTAGTTCCTGGTACGTTATGCTTTCTTGCTTATTTTTATTTTATCTTTTTCTTATGGAAAGGATATTTTTCTTTTCTTTATAATCACGATTTAAATAGCTCCAAGTTTGATATTGAAAATAAAGTTTAACTTTAAAACGTTGACCGAGTTCAGGATCTTGAATAAATTCACTTTGCGGATTAATCAAAAATCAGGAAAAATATGGAATTTTGATCGGCCTGGGCACATGATGCACTCTGAAAATCTTTTAGTAGTGTCAAATTGGATGGAATCGCTTATTTCTTGAAAACTCTTAATCCTATCCTATGTGTAAGGCAGTGAGCGCCACCACCTATAAAAGTTTGCCTGATTTGACAATATTTCTTACATGTTAGATGATTCAGTCTATGACTCTATACCAATCACCAACAAATAAATAGAGAAAAATAAGCCCCTATTCAGCGTCCATTTTCTTGAATTTTTTTTTCTCAAACTCATTTTCAATTACACTTACATAATAAAATATTTTTCACGTAAATTTTAATTATTTTCTATTTTTTAACCATATATTTTTCAAAAAATAGTATTCCAAAACTCTTTTTTTTTTTCGAAAAAGTTATTTTTAATATTTGTCAAATATTAATAAATTTAGGCGGTAAGCCCATCTTGGCCCACCTTGCAATGGGCCACAGAAAAAAGGCACGCCAGGTTTGTTCGAAAAACTTCTGTTGAAAAATCAAGTGATTTTTAAACAAGATTTCGAAAAAAATAAAATTATACTCTAATTTATTTTTATCCCTATAATTAAGGCGTTTGAGCTGTCAAAAAAATAACTAAGGTGTTTAATATTATTATCCTCCTTAATTATCGTGCATTCCCGATTTACTAAAATCATCCCACAAAATCGCAAAAGTAGCATTACTAATTTTCTACCTAGTTTACAGGTCAATATCCAATCATGCAGCATGTAGATTATTTTTCATATTTTTGTTTACACTTTTACACATGGCACAATCTCATTTTTTGATTTCCCAACACATTTTCATATCACTGTCCAGATTGTGCTACAAAGAGGAATGACATCCATGTTGTGAAGTAAGATGTATATATAGCTTAATCTAATTATAAAATGTAACCGTAACTTCCTAACTGGTCGCATTATATTGTAATCATGTCTTAGTGGTCACATACGAATATAGATCAACATTATTATAGTGCATTTGGATAAATATCTATGTTCACATGAAACAACATTTTGTTTTCCCCCAGATTTGGTCACACTCCCTAATATATATATATATATAAACATTTTCTTATTTATTTATGTTTGAAGCATGAAACAAATTCTAGCACGGTACAACGAGAACCAAGATAGTTCAGAAGCTGCCAGGGTTGAGAATGTGGCGGAGGATCAGGTAATTGAAATATTTATTGTTTTACTTGTTTTCGTGAACACTCTCTGTGTGAGAGATTATTTGAAGTGAATTTTTTTTTTTTTTTTTAAAGAATGTGTGATTAAAAAGTAAGAAAGTGCAAAATTATTTTATTGGGAGAATGTGTAGTTGAAAAAGATTTTCAAACAAAATGTGCCAAAAAAAAACGCTCAATATTTTTACACCGTTGAGTGTCACATATAAAATATTCGATCTGAAGATGCTGGAATAGATTGATCAAAATTGAGCAACCATTAATGTGTATTAGCTAGCTTATAAGTTAAAAAAAGATTACAGTTTCATGTTCGAGAACGAATATGATCATATGATTAAATTAATTATTTTCTAACAAGATAATTTATCTGGTTTCACAAGGATGATCTGCATTCTGAAGTAAATGCCCTGAAAGATGCAGTTGAAAAACCCCAGTTACTGCACCGGTATGCCTTTGCACTGTATTTTTTGTTTATGGAATCATGTACAGATTACTCTATGATTATGAGCAGGTGAATTTTTCGTATTTTCTCTTGCGTTGTGATAATTTTATGACTTTTTTCTTTTCTTCGCGTCAGACGGATGATGGGAAAGGAGCTCGAAAACTTGAGCTTTAATGAATTGCAAGAGTTGTATCATCAACGATATTATCTGTCAAGGTCGTATTTCTAGTTTAATTATCGTCTTGACAAAGTTTTGGATTTTTAAAGAACATCATTACACACTTTAGCGCTTTTTTGATAAAGATGTGTATTTTTGACAAAAGATTCTTCGGAACGTGAAATTTAATTTTTATTTTGAAAATATGTTGTTGAAAATGTGTGTTGGAGGAGTGATTCTCAAAGAATTAAAATCAAACAATGGCTTAATTTAAATAGGGTTTGATTAATTTCTACAATTTTAGGAGAAAAAACTATTGGAGGAGCTTGAAAAAACAAGATTACAGGTAACATTTTAAGGAAAAGAGTTTTTACTTTATTTGTCTAAAAATAGCTGCAAAATGGAAGGAGGATAAGCAGTATTATCTCCTCAAATTGAAGCACAATCTTACTAATTCAATTTATTTATTATAAACTTTTCATATATATATATATATATATATATATATATATATATATATATATATTTATTTATTTATTAATCTGTTTCTAACTAAATTTATGTATTTGTTGAATGATGGGAAGGGACAAAAAGTTGTACTACAAAATGAAACACTCCGTGAACAGGTAAAACCAATTGAAAGCTTCTTTCATTTCTTTTCCTTCTTTCGTTCGTCTTTTTTTTTGTTTTGGGAAATAAGAAAATTTGATTTCAGTTTAGCTAATGTTTGATTAATTATAATGATGTAGTGGGAAACAAGCAATTCAAGTGAAAACCTTAAGAACATCAAAATTGGAATCCACTAGTAAAAAACATAAACTCTAGTTTAAAAAATCAAAATTGAAAAGAATACAAAATAAACTAAATGACAAAAATAGCACTAAAACTTTAAAAGCAGTTTTCGAGTCCTAAACGAATTCGGATGGCTAAAGCCATCGTATGTCACAAAGCCATGAATTTAGTTACGTCTGTCGTTCTCTTTCCGAAAATGTACTATGAGCCCAAATCGAAATTCGAATGCCAAATTTGTAGTTTACTATTTTTCCCTTTTCGATCCAATTGTTCCTCAATTCATCAACCATCTATTCTACATCGTATGATTATCCAATATAATTACAGATTGAGGAACTTAGGCACCACTCAGGACTGTCTCGTCTAATTGGAAACAGAGGCTCTTGTATGACCTCAACTTTCATTTATGTGAAACAAGGAAATTCCGATATTTCATTACGTTTAGGGTAAGTACGGTACGGTACGGTACCGTATTTTATTTTTTATTTTAAATTTCAGAACGACACTACAATTTTTTATTTTTTGTTTTTATCTTTGATCTACAACAGTTTTGTAGTGAAATTTACAGGCTATCTTCAGTTGACTTTGAGAAGGGGAAATTCCCAAAGACCGAGTCCAAGTTCCAAGAGCTCGATGGTGATAGACTAATTTTTTCTTTGTAATGTACTTCTTTTTCCTGGCAGGAAAACCTTGTTATATTAATTAATGTGTTTTGAGAGATTTAAAAAGTCAAATTAAAGATGGATAATAAATTTTATTGACATAAGTTTTTGAAATGCGTGATTGAAAAGTTGTGGGACATATGAAAGATATGGTTAATATTGATTGTTTGATTTTGATTTAAATTAAAATCAGATTTTAATTTGGATCAAATTATGTTGTAGTTGTTTTTTAATACTCTCAGAAAAATTATTTAATCGAAACGTTGTATTCAATAGTTCAAGCTATCAATTTATTGTGAATAAAAAAAAAAATCATGTTAAATTAATGCGGGATGTCAATTAAATTATTGGTAGATTTTCATGTATTGAAGGCGTGATGAAAGTCAAGTCAACATAATTTTTTTTAATCTCTGTCGCATTCTACATAACTATAGTTTAATTATAAATTAATTTATATTTTGATCAACAATTTACAATTTTAGGTGATAAAGATGCATATTTTGTGGTAAGAGATAAAAATGAAAATATTGAACAATTTATAAAAAGATTGGATTATCCCTCTTAATAAGGTTGACCTTTTAAGAAGTTGTCTCAAATTTTAATATGGTATCAGAGACAATTAAACTCTAACGAACAATTCGGTGCGATTAAAAAAAAAAAAATGAGCACACGAATTTCAATATTGATTTGTTCAAACGAGCCACCATCTATGCAGGATCGCATCTTTTATAAATTTACAATTTTAGGTGATGAAGAAGTGTATTTTGTTCGTATCCACATAAATAAAATTAGAGGGTGTTTGGTGGAATTAAAATTATATTTTTAGCATATTGTGATAGAAATTTTTGAAATGTGTGGTTGAAAAGTTGTGGGACCCATAAAAGATGTGGTTAATATTGATTCTTTGACTTTGATTTGGATTAAAATTAGATTTTAATCCGGACCAAACATGGACTTAGTGTACAATGTGATATGGTCATTCCCGCAAATGACGAAACTTTTTATTATTATTATTATTATTATTATTATTATTATTAGAACTCTATTAAATTTTAAGATCGAACCTTTCCTCCAGTTAAAGAATCCACTCCCGTGGAGTTTAGGCAGATATGAAAAGGTATATTAAACAGTAACAATTTGGGTTAGATTGTGCGCACTTCGATTAATTTCACGAGACCCTGAAATTTATGATCGGGTACTCACTTCAATGATTATAAGAGGACTCGAATTTTCGCATGGAAAATAGTTTAACACCCATTTTTTCTCATTCACATTCTTTTTCTCTTTCTTCATTTCAACCACACATTCTATCAATAAAATAATACTATACATAAACCCAAAAATTCTCATTACTTTTTAACCACACATTCTTCCATCAATCACTATTGCAGAATTTATTTTTTCTCAAAAATGTGTTTGGTACAGATTCTCATTTTCTACAGTAAATCGATTCTCATTTTCAACCACACAATCTTTAATAAAATAATATTTTCCATCACATCAATACTTTTTTCTTCTTTTTCAACCACACATTTCCCATCATACCACTATTCAAAAATCAATTCTTCCCCCAAAAATCCCTACCAAACAAACTCTATATATCTCAATTTATTCCACATTCCTTTTTTACCCTCCCACCACTTAATGCACTGCAAACATGTACTGAAATGACAGAGGGTAAAATTGGCAAAATGCATATGATGAGTGACTTAATGCACTGCAAACATGTATTGAAATGGCAAATATACTGTTCCAACGTCTCTTTTTCCTCTACATTTTTGGGCGAAAATGTAGCTTAAACAGAGGCTTAATCGAAGCTAATTTGANTTTTAATAATATATTTTACAGAATTAATAATTTTATCAAATTTTCAACCTTATAGTCATTATTTTATTAAAAGCATTGTCGACTACCCTAAATTTGTGGTTCATTACAGCATATCATGCCTTAGAACATTTATGTGGTAATAGAAATGTCCACGTGGCAAAATAGCCAACTGGATCTTAACCGTTGAAAGGTTAGGCAACGAATCGGATAGGCCATAGTCCAAGAAAAAAACATTATTGTTTTGAAGTTGGAACCGACCCAAATTAAATTAAAATTATGGCACCGTTAAAACTTAAAATAAACATTTTGTTTTGCCATTTTAAACTTAAAAATAGGACATGGCTTCTTTCATTGACCTGAATTCATTTTGGTCAATCGTCATCCACATGCCACTTTCATTTTATATTGTTTATTATCGAGACGATAAAAGAAGCTTCTATTCATATTTCAAATATATTACTAATCTACTATATTTTTAAATTTGAATATCACATTTCAAATATATTTTTAATCATATATGTTTACTTATTTTATTTTTAAATATTGCAATGATTAATATATCA